TAAAGATCTAAGTTTTTAATGGAGCTTATAGACTGTGTTTCCATAAATTAAATTTAAGCTCTATTTCACAGTATCATTTATCTTTTTGTTTGCACAATATCTTTTCATATTTCAACTGTATAGAAGCCAGAAACACGATTTCAAATACCTCCACGAATCTTCGTGAAGGGATGTTTGCTACAATTATTCTTGCATGCTGTAATTTTGTTTTTTGTCAAGAAAAAATAAACTCAAAGTAACCTTTAAAAAAAAAATTGTATGAATTAAAAGGTCGTAGTAGACTCAAAAGTCATTTATAACATAATTCAGAAGTTTACAATATAGTTTAGGGTTGGGGAAAAATCATTTCGGTCAACAGTTATAGACTATTTTGGAGTTTTCTTGATATTACAAAGGTAGTTTAGATTGAAGAATTTAATTGATGATTTGAGTTGAAATGAATGTTTCTTTACCAACAGGAAATATAATACAAAATATAAAAAATCGACAAAATACTAGTTAAAGTATCTCCAATGGCAAATTTTATTTTTTTCTCCAAAATGAAATAAAAGTGATTATGGAGTAAAAATGTTTCAATCTCACTTTATTTCTGATTTCATAATGGAGTAGTTAACAAAGAAAAATAGATTACTCTATTTAAAGTGTAAATCTCATTATGGAATAAGAATTGAAGTAGAGTTGGAACATTTTTTACTCTATAACTTTTATTCTATTTTGAAGTAAAATAGAGTTAGGTTGGAGATGCCTTTAATATAACATTTTTGGTGTTGGCAAAAAAACCATTTTTTTTAGTCAAAAAAAAAAACACCATTTTTGGTCAATTTAGTATACAATTTTTAATACTAGTAGTTTAAAAAAAAATCATTTTTGGTCAATTCAATATACGATTTTTAATACCAGTAGTTAATATCGTTTTTATTGGTTAATAAATGATTAGAAAGGTTGTTTGTCCTATACGTAACAGAGGTACGTGCCTTTGTGTTTGGATGTGAGCCGCATGTTGCATCGACATCATGGCACCCGTCAAATCAACATCATCGTCAAATAATGGCAACAGTGTTTGGTAGATTACTGAGGTTTGATTCTTCTTTCTATATGTGTATTCTACGCAGGCCACCATCGAGTTGTTTCACTTACCGTTTCTAAAATAATGTGGTTAAACCATTAAATGTTTTTATAATAAATAGTCGTGTATGTATATGTTGTTGTTTGTTGCGCGGATGGATAATTAGATATTTGAAAAGATATTGAAGACTGTAATTTAGTTATAGATATCATGAAATTGTTTACGTTGGGTATAACTTCTACATGTCTTGAGCCCTATGTGTATGTTGCATGTGTATAGATAGTAGTTGTTTGGATATTTGAACTCTAGACAGACAGTACAAATTACCAAAATACATTTGTGAAATTTAAGATTGTAGGCTCACGTTAAAATATGTTCCAGTATATTAAAATTATAGTTACAAAAAAAGATATTCAATATCAAGTTGAGTATTTTTAATATATTTATACGATTTTAATGTTAAAAATTTTCGTTTATAATAATTATTAAAATAGTTTAAAACAAGAAAATGTGTGTTGGAAAAAGACATTAACATATCAGTTCGACAGCATTCTCTTTCAAAGTTTTTCTTATGACACATATTTGGTAAGAAGCCTTAAAAGTATGTATAAATTACTAATCAAGTTGAAACATGATGGACGAAAGTACCTTTGTAGGACGGTGATTCGTTCAAAAACAAGTGTTAAATTTGTTTGAAAAATATTCATATTGATGTGATATATCCAACGATAACGTACACAAGCTAGAGAATCCTAGGCGTCTAGATGTCTAGATTCTTATATTCAATTTTCTAAAACTCTTTTTTTTTTTCCTCCATTTCGACACACTGGCTCATTAATCAGACTTGTCTATAGTTCGACTATTAACCCGACTCCACCACACACTATTCACCGTGATTACTGAATCGAACATATGTAATTCCACGAACTTTGATGACATCATACACAGATGGCTCTTATTCCTCAGTTCCCAAATTTTACTCAGCATTTTGTTTTATATTTATCCTTCTGATAGTATAAATTGTTAACTATAAATACCTAAATTAACGTGCCAATGTTGCCATATGTAACAACTCTTTTACATATATCCGTACGGCCCAATGTTGCATCTTTCAAAAGTTCCAAAAAAAAATGTTGCATCTCCCATTCTTTATACACAAAAATCATAAATTAAATCAAATCATCATTCTGATTAGTGCATCTTTTTTTTGTTATCAGAACTTGAAAGAAAAAGACTACGAATCTATCTCTAGATACTCAACGGTAATCACTAGTGGGATCTAAAGGGGGTACGGAAGAACAAACGAAAGTGAACATATTGTCCTTATGAATGTTGTTTCTCTTTACGTGAAAACAATTAGAAAGATTTATACACAAAATAAGTAAAGAAGAAGAAGGAGCGTCCAAAACTTCAGAGAATATACAGATGAAGTTAGAAATGGTGGGCTGAGGATCGCACGTGGTATGTTATGAACGTACGAACGTCAGAACGGACGAACAATAAGAAAGTCTAATTTATTATAAATCAATATATGTAAAATTGGTGCCCTCTTACATGTCAAGATCGCTTACAAATTACAGATCTATGCAAGTTTCAGTATGTGGTCTATAAAAGGTAAAGGCCCGGTCAGTGGACTAGGATGGGTTTTAGGAGAGGATCGAGATTTTTGTGATTTTTCAAAAATTATAGTTTTTCAGTGGTTTTCTTTTCTTTTTTTTGTTGAGAAAGTACTTAGCATATTACTATGTTTTGTTAATATATGTATGGATTTTCTTGGTTAAAACACATGACTACATGAGCATGAGCACCAAGTGTATCTTTACTATATAAATCAACACTTTAATTGGTAGAATTTACTCTTATAGATAATTGTTTTCCTGGCCAAATTTAATTTAAATTTATTATTTGAAGTTAGTTTTTTTTTTTTTGCTAAAATTTGATGCAATTAGGTGAAGTTAGTTGATATCTCTTATAAGTATCAGCGAGACTGAGGCCGTGACGCATTTGGAAGCAAAACATTTGGATTATGTTTTTAATGCGTCCATTTTTAACTCGGCACATTGATGTTTCACTGTCTAGGTCCTATATGTCGATGGAAAACAACACGTGTATATGTCTGCGTTTACTTTTAGTTTGAATTTGATGAATAAGCATGTATTTAGAAAAATGTTATAGTATTGAAAAGATGTCTTTAGAATTTTAACAAAAATGTACGATAAAATGCAGATAAAGCTTAGTTAGTTGTTTTAGTTTAACTGAATGCACCCTTAAAAATGTATATATACACTCGCCATTAAAGTAATACTTCCTCTGTTTTAAAATAGCTAAATAATGCATATTTTAAATTTTGTACACATATAAATAAAACATATTACATTTTAGTTACAAATTGCATAATTTTTGAAATTTACAGTTAATCATTATTACTCCATCCGTTTTAAAAGGATCAATGTTTTAGACAAAACAATTGTTTCAGTAAAATACATTTTTTTATATTTTTAATACATTCATTAATGGTAAATTGTAAACTTTAAAATATAATTGTGTTTTTTCATTTTATTAGTTAAAAGTTATATGGAATAGTTAGTTACGTAAAATAATGTATTAAAACATGAAATATTTTGAAACAGGGGAATAGTTGATAAAAAAGTATTGAAAATGTTTTTTTGAAATAATTATTTTTCTAAAACATACATCTTAATCAAATGGAGAGAGCATATTATACAAAAGACATCACTGATGAAAATCATCTATACAGAAAATAATATATTCTAGAAAAAATCATGAATCCTGCAAAATGACGACAAATGTATAATTTAACCTATTATGTTCACTGGACACAAATGGCGTGGTATAACTTAACCTATTTTGTTCTCTCTTTTTTTTATTCAAAAATTATTTTGTTGGTATATGTTAACCTATTTTGTTCTCTCTTTTTTATTCAAAAATTATTTTGTTTATTGGAGAAATGAGATGTGTATGTATCATTTAGCCTATTTTGGCACCTAATGCAGCTTGGGATTTATTGGATTTCGAACCAGGAAAAGAGTCACATAACCATTGGACTACGTACCACTTCAAATGTATATAAAGTTGTGATATAAATCTTGTCAACGTGGGCATAAAAAATAATATCCTAATTTCATGAGAAACGCATACATCTAATGTTCTTCTATCAAAAGATGTCGTGGTTGATATTGCAAACACAAGACACCAAATGTATAATGATTTCCAAAAGAAAATTAAGATGTTAATATTTCCAGTGACATTGAATTTTAAGAAACCCAATGTGAAATATTCACATCGTCACTTAAAATTAAGATGTTAATACTTTTATGTAGAATAACTAATTGACCAATATGGTAAAGACATGATGGGAAGGTTATAATGATATAATCAAGTGTTTTGTTTCAAATTTCTATAAATTTAAAATATTTTGTGAGATACTACTGTTGTAACTGGCCTAAGAGTTTCTCCAACGGGGGATATTGAGGACACGTTTTACATGATCAATTTGTTTTAAAATAAGAGAAAGTGAAGTGAAACAGTCGGTTTGGTGCAGAGAACTTTTATGTGTCCTTTAGTATATTCTGACTACCATTTGTATCTTTTTATTGGTTCAATCTTCTGTATTTTACTTTATGAAGTAATTATATTATTTTTAATAAGTTTATATTAGACAGATATCCAATGGGAGCATCTTGCCAGATAATGTTGCTTCTTGACGATAATGTTGCTCTAATAGCTTTTTTTCCAATGATCTGTGTTTACAGGACTGTGTGTGTATATACACTGTCTATTGAAACAGTGTTGAGATTCAACGTTAGTAAAAGAGTTACTTAAATGTTGGCACCTATTTATAGTTGAAACAATGTTAAGATTTAACGTTAGTGAAAGAGTTACTTAAGATTCTACTTTTTAGAACAACTTTGTGCTCATTAAAACTTTCATTTCTTTGTGAATGCAAGAGAGTGAGTTAAACAAGAACATTTACTAGGTTTAACTAAGGAAAATTTTGATAGCTTAACCAGGTAAAACAAATAAGGTTAGTTTGAGTTTATGTAAATGAAATTTGAATGAAACAATAATAATGATTTATATACAGACCAATAATATACGTTAAATAAAACACTCCTAATACAACTTGCTGAAGCCAGAAGTGATCCCTGAGTCTCCTAGTCTTGGAAACAACACCTCTTTCTCAATCAAAACCTGGAGATGCGACGTGATCTTGACGAATGCAACCCACACAAAAGGTGCACAACAAAATGCGTATCCGAAAACAGACAATGCTCTCACCACCCCATCAGGATACCAAGGGAAGGCCATAACAAGAAGCGTCCCTAGGATGCCTATCCATGGAGTGAGAACAGGTAGCGTTGGGAGAAGGAGAGTGTTGATCGGTATAGAAGAGAGAGCAAAAGAAGCCATCAAGTAGAGCGACCATCCAATGAGTGGATGTATAGTGTGAGGGATGGTGAAGAATGGGAAGACGTAGGCTGCTACTACGGAGAGAAGCGCGATGAACTTGAATCCTGCTTGGATCGTTGTTAAGTTGCGGTCAGAACGGCGATAACATAGCTTAGTTATGTTAGGACGAGCTAGCCGTGTGACTACTATGATTCCAAGGTAGAATATTGTCTGGATTATGACCAAAGGCATCTCTGCTGAGTACCCTATAGTGGTTCGACGCTGCTCGTGCCATGAGATACCTAGTGGAAGAACAGGCCATGACCACCAGTACCATGGCTTTAACCAAACGGCTCCAGGGAATGTAATCACACTGTTTGGTCCACAGGGTATGTTCCATCTTAGTTTAAGATCTGAGAGTAGATAGATCATCATGTTATTAGACTAACAAAAATAAATAGGACAAATTTTATAAATAGCACTTCTAGTTTTTTTGTCACAAAATAACATTCAGAGAGAAAATTTTCTAAAGTACACTTATTAATCAATAAAACACTAAATTATCTTATATCCTAACTCTACCTTTTTCCCACATTCTAAATACTAAGTCAATCTCTAATCGCTAAACTTATACTTAAATAAAAGAAAATGTTTTTAGTTTTAAATTAATGCTATTTTGGTGGTCTTTTCTTGTGTCTAGTTTTGAACAAATTTTTGATTTATTGACATCTAAGAGTATTTCTCAAATAAGTATTATTATAGAGAGACTTACAGAAATAAGAAGCGTCCATTTGATAGCCTAAGGGAAGTCTCAAATGGCCACTAAGCACAGAGCCATTACTCGGAGGACGAAAGAGAGGCTGGTCAAGAAGATCAGAGAAGTAACTGACAAGGAAGCCTTGATCAGCGCCATCACGATTCTCTCTACCAACATCTAGCTCATGGAGCATGTCCTTGAACACTTCCGGAGATGGTTGCAAGACGAAAAGGCCAGTGTGGAAGATGCAAGGGTTTATGAACACCGCGCAGAAGCGTCCGCACTGGAACAGCTCGTCGGTTTTCTTAAGGAAGAGGTTGTCGGCATCTAGCATGACCACACGGTCGTAATCTGACAAAGCCCATGCGTAAAGCTTGTTCAGAGTAAGCTTGAATCTACTATTGAAATTAGTTTGCCTCCTGTATGGATTATCCACGTTTTCGACTCTCACCACTTTAGCTCCATCTTCCTCTTCCCTGTTCACACACACACACACAATCATTCACAAACACGTTCGGTGTGAACAACTAATCTATGCATGCTTGATCTTGAAAGTAAATATATAGTAAGGGCGGGTCAAATCTAAAAATCAGTTTAGACAGCGCATAAGATGTTTTGAACTAATGATAAACTTTGTTTTAGTTCCTAAATTTTAAAGAAATGATATACATAATTAAATTTTCTACATTCGAAATTGCAAAAGAAAATAAATTGTACCAAATTAATGTTTATAATCTTTTAAATTCAAGAGTCAGCCCTGTATATAGTTATCTATTTTGAGTCCGCATGTCAAGCCTTTGGCATTGTTAAAATTTTATGATAGGTTACGAGATTGACATGTAGACGTTATTGCATGATCTATAGAGCATATTGGCTGGCCGGCAATAAAGTAATATTGTATACAATTTGACCAAAAACATGTAGATCAAAGTTTTTTTCAATCAAGGTACTAAAGTCAAAACAACTCTCTTTATATCATTTCATTCAATGTATCAATGTACTAAGTTTTCATTATCTTCCGATCGCTTCCCAATTCTACGTCCGCTTCAACCTTTATGGGTGAATAAATGTTGACTCTAGGTTCTTTCAATGATGCTATAGTTTATTTCAAGAACTATATTCTATTTTCAGAAGAATTTGAACGCTATACGACACCTAACAAGTTATTGAACATTGAAATCTTTAAATTATTTCATTAGCTTAAAGTATAGAGATGTAAATAATAGATATTTTCTGATACATAGAAACGCGTCGTATCGAGTCAATATATGGACAAGATATAAATAGACTTAAATGCGTGAGTCTATAAGTGTCATCAACAATATATACTTAACTATCCCCAACTTTTACTTAATTATTATATTGTAATCGTTACGGAAACAATAAAGAATGGTTCCTCAAGGTGTAAATTAATGTTCTTTGAATTCATGAAACCGATCAACAAGAATAGAAATAAGCGATATGTCCAACAAAAGACGAAATGAAAGAATCAAAACCTATAGGGTCTCGGTCATTTTCAAATCAGTCGTTATCTCACTCGAACATTTTCTAAGCTTCATTCAATTTTATACGAAACAAGAAATATATTCTTAGCTAATCTTGAATAAAAGAAAATATCTCACTTTCAAAACCCAACATAGAAAAAAAAAAAGACTATTCTCTATCATCTAACCCACTGTTTCACGCACGCACGATGCCATATTGACATTCATAGTGGAAATTAAAAATGGTATATTCCAGCTTATTATTGGTTTAGTCTACGTTCAACACGACGACGTTTTGATATGGTCGACATAAAACGTTAGAAACAGAGAAAGAAGAAGAAGAAGAAGACTTACAAAGTCTCAACCCATCGGAGAGGAACGTCGAGAGAAGCGATGACAACAAGATCAGCTTCCACGTTAAGATCTCTCAACGATCTGACCAAGACACGAGTCGCCACATAGAACTCGTAGTCCCTTGGCGTCCCCATGTACATCATCGTTGCGTAAGCGTTTTTATGCTCAGGCCGCCGCGTCTTTAAACCACGATCACGTATCGCCACCGCCGCGTTTGCTGTGTCTATATTCGTTTCATGCGGTTGTAGTAGCTCGCGATGTGCCGTCGTTTCGGTTGCCAGAAGGGACAGAACACAACATAAGAACACTAAACATCTCTGCATATCCATTTATTGAGAATATGAATTTTTTTTTTAAGGGAACATGTAAATGCATACGCGTATATATAGACGACTGTGCATCAAAGAGAGAGGACGGTTTGTGGGAGACTGTGAAAGGGTTACAAATGTATAAATCATGAGTGGCCAATCAGGAAAATTATTATAGTTATATTTTATTGTTTGAATTATAAGAGGAAAAAATAAAGTTCTGCCAAATAATGGGGTATATAATATTCTCTACATCTTCTATACATATTGTATATTACTTGGATTGCCTCATTCTTACCTAAAATAAGTTAATTATTGTTACTAGTTGCTGATTACTGAAAATCATAAACTTCCATTTATATAACGGATTTTCTTACTTTCCATTCGTATTGGCTTTCCAAAAGAGAATTAGGAGTGTTTTTTTTGAGAAATGAAAAATATTGATTTTGAGTTCAGATTTCAATGGATTAACACGAGACCACTGAGCCTTTGTATACATCTTTAGTCACACTTTTTGGACTCAGAGAGATGCGTAACGCTGTTTAATTTGTAACGCACAAGAAGATGGTGAATTACGGTGTGCTTAATAATTTTTAATACACTAAAAGGTGAGTTATGTAAGTAACCGTATCATTTAAATTCTAAAGTATTTTTGCTTGGCAGCTAATATTATGGAAGGGGTCAAACTTGACCATGTGGACTGAGACTTTGCCCTCTTTGTCAATTGGCAAGTGGTGTGCAATCTCATCCTAAGTTCATTTTATTAATTTATATCTTCTACATTGCTATAGTACTTATTCCCAAAAAACTATATTCAAAGTCAATAATGTTGAGGAACTCACAACCAAAAACAAGTACTTTGACGTGACAAAGCAGAGAAAGTTCAACTATTAATGATAGGAGTTCTCTCTTTGTGAACGATGTGAAGTATATTCTGTTGCAAAGGGAGTCTATTATGTTACAACGGATCTGAATAGTAACCTCAAAATAAATGATACAAAACAATCATCACAAATATGATTGCGAATGGTATAGTCCAGAGAATTTTATAAAAAGATTGTACTAGACTTCCAGTTGTGGGCATCTATCATTGTCGCTATAACCACTTCATATTTTTGTTTTACATTTTGATATATTATTACAAAATATTGCTCGTAATGAAAATATTTTATTAGATAAATTCTCATATATTGTATAATGTTTTTAACAACTATCTCATGTTGTATAATTATGTGTAGGCTGGATTAGATCTTTTTGTGTTAGAATATATTCTTTAAAAAATATAAAAGATTGGAGGAGAATAGATTAAAGGGAAAGAGGAAGGAAACGAAGGAACGTTGACTGATTAGCAATCATACGACTCTTCTTCTCGTGTGTGGAAACCGTGTCAGTCCATAATGTCTGTGAAATGGTCTTTAAGAGAAGCAGCACCAGCGAACTCAAGGGCAGGTTCGCCACGTGCCCTTTCCTTTTTTTTAAAAAAAAATTTCGTTACTTTTTCTAAAAAAAAAAAAAAAAAAAAAAAATTAAAATTGGACCTATCGCAGGCCGCCACATAGCGTGGGGCCCGCAGAACAGTGACGAACTCGCCTCTTGCGCACAACAACCCACGACCCCGGTTCAGAAAAATAACATAATTTAATTTTTTTTTTTATTGGTTTCTGTGTAAAACCTCCCCATTGAATCTTCAATAGGGGTGCTCTTAAAGATGCTTACATCCACCATAGTGCTCTTCTAATTCTGTTGACTTGTAACATCGTTACATTTTATGGTTTACCAATACAGATTATACCATACGTTAATTTTGTTGTCTATTTGCGTCTGGACTAAGTTAATATGATAATGGGTCTACACAGAACTATTATATCCGATTAAAACAAACATTGTCTTTTAAATTGTTAATGGAACAAATAAATTAAGGTTTTATTTACATTCTGATTTACATATGTAATTTTCAAAAAAAAAAAATATTGGTAAACATGTTATTCGAAGGTCTCTCACTCAGCTTAACAACCATTCTTTCAAAAAGTTGATAAAAATATAAGCATAGCGATGAAATAAATAATTTGTCGTGATAGCCAAGCAATAAACACATTCCAAGTAATCGACTAATTCCAATGTCTGACTGTGTAACCTAGAGTTCTCTTGCCTGCCTCTAAAGCAACTCTTATATGAATCAGTCAATTCTAATCTCTTAAATACAATCTTAAATCTCTTTCATTTCCTTTACTCTTTGCATTCTGAATAAAACTCCTCAATAAATTTACTTCAGTCTTTATGTTTATTTTTCTATTTTACTAAGCTCGCTTGAGCATAAATAACCTTTGCTTTACATTAGCTTTACAAAGCTAACCACTACGTTTATCTCTTAACTATACCAAACTTCAATGTATAAGACCCATTATAAGGTCCATTAAAGGCCCACAACATACGAGCCAGCCAGCCCACAAATAAATAGGATTCAATTAAACATTCCATAAAACAACATACCCAAAATAAAACTTCACAAAGATATTAAGGACGAAAACAGAAAGTTAAAAAACGGACTTGGGATTCAAGCAAAAGGGGTCAAACCGTCAAAACCAACTTAACCCGAGAGAGCATCGTCGTCAAAAACCCCAAACTCACAAAATCTCCGCCGCTAAACCCCTCCGTCGATTTTCCGATTCAAATTGAATGATGGGCGACGAAGCAGCACCAAAAGGGCCCCAAAACAGAGAACTCTACGCGCTACTGAATCTCTCACCGGAAGCCTCCGACGAAGAAATCAGGAAAGCTTATCGTCAATGGGCACAAGTCTATCACCCCGACAAGTCCCCTTCTCCTCTGGTTCGTGTTACCCTTTTGCTCAAAATCTCATCTTTCTACTGATTTTTACTGATTTTTGTCATCTCTTTGTGTGGTTTAGATGAAGGAGGTTGCGGAAGAGAACTTTAAACGGATATGTGAAGCTTATGAGATATTATCTGATGAGACTAAGAGGTTGATTTATGATTTGTATGGAATGGAAGGGTTGGCTTCAGGGTTGGAGCTTGGTCCTAGGCTGAGTAAGGCTGAGGAGATTAAGGAGGAGCTTGAGAGGATTAAGAGGAGAGAGGAAGAGGCTAAGAAGATGGCTCATTTTATGCCCTCTGGTTCTATTGTATTCAATTTGTCTTTGCCGAGTTTCTTAGACGGTGATGGCATCATGAGAGGGTACTTTTTCTCTAGTTTTGATGTGTTTTTGGTTAGTTAGGTTCTTGATTTGGGTGCTTAACTTGTCCTTGGAGATAGTTACTAGGCGGGATTGTTTCTCTAGAGTATGGTTATTAAGAAAAAATGTGATCTTGTTTGCTTTTAGCTATGTGTTTGGATGTGTTTTTGGTAGAATGGTTCTTGATTTGGGTGCTGAGGTTGACCCTGGAGATACTTACTAGCTCGGAATGTATCTGTAGCATGTGGTTATTGAGAAAATATATGATCTTTGTGTGTTAGCTATGTGTATTGTGTGAGATTTTTGGTGCTTAACACTAAAACTTGACCCTTGAGGATTCTTTATAGTAATTATAGTAATTATTGGTCTTTGATTCCCTTTTTTTTTGTGGTTGTTCAGAATGGTTATGGCTAGTCAAGTGCAGTCTCAGTTATCAAAAGATGATGCTATTGCCATTGCCGGAAATTTAGCAGCCAATCAAAGGTCTGGTGGTGGAATTGGTACTGCCATTCTGAGACGTCAGCTTTCTCCAGTGTCATCCATAGAGTTCGTAGCTTCAACGGGTCTGCAGTCTCTTATTGGGATGCAGACAACACGGTAAGGCTCATGAGTTTTCTAGTCAATATGTTTCTTGGCAGATTTAACGGTTTAGCTGACACTTTATCGTTTTGTTTTTTGTTGGGGGCAGTCAGTTGTCCATACATTCAACTGCAACTATCAATATTTCAAAGTCTTTGAGTGATGGATCCATTAACCTTACCAACACGTGGACTCGGCAGCTTTCAGAAACTTCAAGCGGAAATGTATGTTCTTTATCTGTTATGGTTTTGATTTGAACTTCTAAGATGGTTAAGAAAGCAGTTTTCTCGAGTTTTAAATAGTTTCTTCACTCCAGATTGAACTTGCACTGGGTATGCGATCAGGAATTACAGTAGGATGGAAAAAGAGAGACGAGAATGTATCTGCTGGTGCTGATTTGAAGGTAAGCTTGACTTCCAACCTACATTCTGACTGTTCCACCTTGACCAAATCTTTTACTTTCTGTATTTATGACCTTGCTTTTACCAGATTGAGACTGGTGGACTCGGAGCGTCAGCTCGTTATACTCGTAAACTTTCATCTAAATCTCACGGTCGCATTGTAGGTAGAATTGGAAGGTATGCGTTATTGGCAGATATGTATTTCGATGTGTGGTGCTGTTAATGTTCTCATTTGACTTAGGATAATTTTTTTAAAAATTTTCAGCAATGCTCTTGAGATTGAGGTTGGTGGTGGAAGGAAGATTTCTGAGTTCAGTACTTTAAGAATGATGTATACAATAGGAATCAAGGTATATTTATCTTTAAAACTTTCAGAGCCATCCATCTTAGCGATTATGAACTCTACTTATTTCCAGTGCTTTAATACTTTGTTGTAGGGTATTTTTTGGAAACTTGAGCTACACCGTGGTGGTCAAAAGCTGATTGTTCCTGTGAGTCTTACCTTCTACTTCTTCTTCTTGTTCTTAATAATAAGAGCAGGACGGACTTTCTATTAATCTCTGGAGTTGACTGTATGAATACAATCGAAAGAACATAGGGATTGATTCTAGTCCTTAACTAATCCATAAAGAGTATCTTTAAAATGTGCAGGTTCTACTCTCCGCATATATAAGTCCAGTATTTGCCACTGGAGCATTCATTGTTCCAACATCTCTTTACTTTTTGTTAAAGGTGAGAGTGATTGGACCCTCTAAATATCTACTTCTTCTACTCTCTGGTTATATGGTTTTTGCCTTACTAAGAGTTCTACTATTGGACGCAGAAATTTTTGGTGAAGCCATATATGCAGAAAAGAGAAAAACGAAAGGCATTGGAGAATATGGAGAAAACTTATGGCAAGGTGATGATTACTTCTTAGTTTTGGTAGCTTGTGATTTTATGGTAAATGATTTTGTTATGAATATTTTCTTTTTTAAATTGTGTGTGTTTAGGTTCGGGAAGCAAGGGCATCAGCTGAGAAAGCCCAGCAGTTGCTACAAAACGTAGCCACAAGGAAGAAAAACCGACAAGCTGAAACAGGCGGGCTCATAGTAACAAAAGCGTTGTATGGTGACGCAAAGGCCATAGAGAAAAGACATGAACATTTGGGAGAAGAAGTGGATTCAGGAGTCATTGACGTGACAGTGCCCATGAACTTCCTAGTGAGTGACTCCGGGGAGCTCAAGCTCCATGAAGGAGTGAAGAAATCAGGGATCATGGGCTTTTGTGATCCATGTCCTGACCAACCTAAACAGCTATACGTTGCCTATACTTATAATTCTCGTACATTTGAGGCAATTGTTGGTGACTTTGAAGAGCTGGTTTTACCACAAGCTGGTCAGTGAGTATGAAAGGTACTCTCAACTTTGTTGTTTTAATTAACTACGCAAAAGTTTATTCGGGGTTTTGTAACTCCCAGTTTCATGTTTATTGATCACAACTTGCCTTTGAGGCTCTTTTTTACTTTCATTTCTCAATAAATTAAGCATTATTGTTTGCTATGAATTTTATATCGATTTTCATTTACATATGTAGTTTATTGTCAATAATATTTGTTTTTTTCTGATAAATTAGAAATAAAATTTAAAAGTATTGTAAAACTGCAAAGCAAGATGTTTTAGATTTAATGACATTATAGGAATGAATGATATCACTTTATTTAACTACTTGCTTTGGGGGTAAAAGGTTAACCCAAAAAGTACAAATAAATATTGGCCATGTGAATTATGTGTGATACATACCATCACCCTGCACTGATATTGGTTACGTTGTACCACTAATAATTTGTGTTGATGAGTTTTGACAGAATTTAAAATGTATTTGGACATAAACAATTGGAGAAAATTGAGCGAATGAAGATGTTTAGTGGTCGGAAAAAGCGTTTGGCGTTTTGGGAGAGAGTTTGAGAGGCGATGTTCTTGACTTGTTGATGAGAAACCAAACGTGGTTTGAAGTGACCTCGTGCCATGACCTGCTTGTTCTTCACATCAACCACATATTCTTCTATTCCTGTCAAGTATCATCCCATTTGGTCAAAAATAAATAGGTACTTATTCTCCCTTTAAATTAATGAATTTGATTACATAGCATCGATGATTATGACAAATAGGATTAAAGAATAGGTCATGAATGATTCTAATTACTTCTTAAGAGCGATTAAGGACGATGGTAAACGGTAGGTAGCAGCCAAGAAAATAACATAACTAAAGATACTTTAATAGCAAGTTGCTTGTGGGGTTTAACAAATAATTAGTTTTATAAACAGATTTATTCATGAAACACATATTTGGTGGTAATATGTAGGTAGAGAGCTCACCGGTCATCTTGGAGACAATCTTAGAGACTCTGTCTTGACAATGGTCACATCCCACATCTGCGTTTATCACTATAATTTGAAACTGAATTTTGTTCTCCATGTTAATACATATTGTTTTAGCATGTTGCTATATACATGTTTAAGCACTTTACACTCGAACTAACAAGAACAAAAATAATAAAAATCCCATTATAGTTATTAAAAACACAAGTTGATAGTTATAATTGAAAAGAGAAGAGAAGAATGATCAGGAAGATGACTGCAATAACTTTTTGTGTTTTCTGTTTTGGTTTAAAGATTGCATGAAATTTATTGATTAAGACCTGAGAGAAGAATGTAAATACATGACGTACCGATGGAAGTGAGAGTTCCTCGCAGACCATGAGGGTGTGCGGCCGCATCGCTGGCTCCTTCAATTTCGGTTTGATGGAAGAGCCAAGACGCAGTCACGCAGGCTTGCTGAAAATGTATTTGACTACGGGACCGAGCTTATGGTTGATCCATTAGACATGGAGGCTTTGACCACTTTAAGAAAGGAATGTATGTCTTTTATATGCAAGTGAGGAAGAAATCCAATTTGTCGTACGCTAATATATATTGAGAACTCCCATCCTTACACGTTTCACCCACAATCTATATAATAATATGAAATAAACTTTACAACAATCATGGATTAAAACCAACTAAAGGTTGTTCTAAAATAATAGCGAGTAGGATTAATAGCAATTTGCCTTAATTTTTTTATTTATGAAAACATAACGAACATTCACGTCGAGATAAAAATGACTTTCTACCTTTATCAAATAACTGAAAAAAAAACAAATTATGGGGAAAATTGACTTAAGATAAGAGATGACAGAACAAAGCATTCCAATGAAAAGATGGACCAAGTTAAGGTGTGAGTATTATAAATTAGTATATAATCTTGTTTAACGATAATGTTAACTGGTCAGAAAAAGAGAGAACATGTTACAGCCACCAATGTATGTTAGAGCCATCGCTTCAATAACATACATACATGTATGAACAACAAACCTTCTCAAAGAAGTAGTTTTGTCTAAGAAAACACATGGAAACAATGTATGATGAGAGATTGTCTTGAACAAAGCAAAGCGTGGAGGTACATGTTTTATAGAAATTTGAGAATGTCACATAAAATGCACGTTTCTCTTCTGATGGGCAACATGGATACGAAATCAAAACTCTGTAAACCTCTTAGCAAAAGAAGAAGACTAGTATATTTTGATTTTTGGTGACAAGTTTTGATAAACCATTACTTCAACAATATCATTCTTTAATGTATGAACACCAAACCCTCTAAAGGAACAAATACTTTCTCTAAGAAATACATTGTAATATATGATGAGAGACTCGGACTATATTGAAACAAAGCAAAGCATGGAGGGACATGTTTATAGAGAATATGGCAACAGTTTGCAAATTCTTATTCCTGATCTCACAGCACAAGAAGAAGAAGACTATAATCCTTTAAATCAAACAAGATATTAGCAGAGGTTTGTGGTTATTACATCTTTTGCCAAGGAAACAAAAAAGAGTATATGATCATGACATGTACAGTACCGTGTTTAAATCAGTGTAGTGACATTAATCAAACAAGAATTGAAGCAAAACCATTAATCCCATTGATAACTTCAATGGATCCAGAGAATATGTAAATTACATAAAACCTTTTGAAGTTAAATCAACTTCCTAGTGAGAAAATCAAACCAATACTCTCCACCAAACCATGCTTCGAGGCACCACTTCTACTCGTCTCTCTTTCTCTACAGGCTCACCTTCACAGTTCAGAACATCAACAGATTAGCAACGAAACATAGATACATCCAACAACAACTGAAACTAATTGGCTTAAAGAGACAAAACACTGTAAAGATTCAACCTTTAAGTTCCTAAACAGAGCATAATGAGAACGATCCGATCCCTAACAATAGATATGTGAAACCCTAAAAGATTCAAACTTTAATAAAGGGTATTAAAGAAAGAGTGGTGGGTACCGAATCATTCAGCGTCGTCCTTCTTGGGTTTGCGATAATTCTCCTCGATGTGCTTGGCGACGACGAGACTAGTGTTGGTGAGCTTCCTGATGTTGGGGACGTTGTAGTTCTGAGCCAAGTAAACGCCGAAAGCAGTACCCAATAAGAGGGAGAAGCAGCTCTTGATTATTCCCATCTGATCTCTGCCCTTCTCTGCAAGTTCCCCCTTCCTCCGCAAGTTTTCGGTCAACAGAAAGAAAGAGGCGAATTCACGGGGTTTATAAATAAATATTAATTACTTAAGAGCCCTTACTATTATCTAGAATTTCTTTTTATAGCTTCTTTCTTCTCTGGATGATCAGAAACACCCCCAAAACATCAAATTGTGTTTTTCAATTAAGTATGTGTGTGTGACTCACTTTCCTAATGCTTACATCAAATGTTCCAACTCTCATCTTTCAAAGATCATTAATTTTTCTATCTTCTTATTCCTTATCAATACCATTACAACTAGTTTCCTTAGACAATTAATCAAAGATTTTTAAACTTTCTATCACTCGTAAGCATCTCTATTCAACCTCACTTGTTATTTTGTTACTTTCTGATTAGTCTTTGACTGTTGTTAAGGAAACATAAGCTTTTTTATAAAAGCTTATGAAAGAGATGTTGACAGTATGATATTTTTTTTATTTGATTGTATACACCAACTGTATGTTGGTCTATCTTTAGGTATACATAGTTCAGTTTCTCAGCTGTAATGAGCAGAGTGGAAAAAAAAAATGAATTTACAAACTAGTATGTATTGTTGTTTGGCTTTTGCACAGCCAAAAGAAGTAAACAGCTAAAACGTATCTACATCCTTAACTTTACTCAACCGCCGAAACAAACAAGGCCTAATCCCATCTTCTAGCAACTTCTCCACTTCCTCAAACTGAAGCCCTTTGGTCTCAGGCACAAGCATCCATATGAAGACCAAACCCGTTGCTGATGACACTGCAAAGAGAAGGAACGTTCCTGATGAACCAACCTCGTGAGTCAGTGTCAGGAATGTCTCACTCACTACTAGATTCGATGACCAGTTTGCTACTGCAGCTATTCCTCCAGCCAGACCTCTGTAGCGAAGAGGGTATATCTCTGAGTTGACAATCCATGGTACTGTCCCCATACCGGGAGCGTAGAATATGATGTAGAGGCCGATGAAGATTATGGCTAAGTAACCGAACTTGCTGGGGCATCCGTCTTTGAAGTATGTTCTTCCTTTTGAGTGGCACAGTGACTTCATGTCAGCAGATAGAACAACACATGCTCCAGGTGCATACTGTCACAAACACATAGGACATTAGTATGAGTTGTATCTTGTTTTCTTTTTTTTTTAAACAATAAGTCTGGGTCAAAACATATAGTCCGCCCTTAACCCTAAACTACATCATGTAATATTAGTTTCGTTCGGACTATATTTTTTTCTGTAATAAAAATTGAGACTATAAAAATTTATTAATTTACAAAAAAAATATCTTCAACTTTTTTTATATATTTTGGAGTATAACTGTTTTGTGAAACAAAAAGACTAGTTGGTTTCAATGTTTAAATATTCATAAAATTTAAAATTCAACTGTATCTTGTTTAATATTGTTTTATTATATTAAATTTTATAAATTCAACTGTATCTTGTTTCATTTAGCTACTACTGTTTTATGTTTGTTCTGATTAAAGAGACTTTATTTACCTCTTGTGCTTTGTTAGAGCAGAATCCACAATGTGATCGAAGACAGTTCATACAGTTCCAGTTAGATGGAGAATCCTTTGAGGCTGTGTAAGGGGCAAAAGCATGACAAGTACCATTTGGAGCAAAGCTTATGGAGTCTGTCGTATCAATCTTGGGAGCTTGTTTTGAAGTTTCAGAGAAGACAGCCGCCAAAATGACAAGACAAGATATGATACCAAACATGGAAATGATCATAAGCCTGCGCCGGCCATACCGGTCTACAAACATCATACTCACTATCGACCCCAACGCATTTAGACCAGAGGTTATAAGAGACAGAGCCATTGCTGTCTTGTTTGAGGCGTAACCTGCAAAGTGAAGTATAGTGGGACTATAGTACATGACTGTGTTGATTCCCACAAACTGCTGTGCGACTTGGACGGTGATACCAGCTGCAAGCCCGTGGCGGACTACAGGGTTAGAGAGAGCTCCTTTGAGTTTAGCGTAGAAGGTGTGTCCGATGATGTCCTCGTCAGCCTTCTCTGCCATGACAGATTCTTTGAGTGCAGCTATCTCCGCTTCAACTTCCTCTGCAGGGTATATTCTCTCGAGGATGTCTCTGGACTCGGCCTTCATGTCGTTTCTGTAAAGCCAACGTGGAGACTCTGGTAGTGTCAGCATTAAGCAGAACTGAATGATTGCTGGAACTGCAGAGACTCCCAACATCCACCTCCATGTCCCTGATGTCTACAACCACTAAGTTGTGAGATTCTTTCAAATCTTGAAACATGCATATACATGAGTTACTGTCGGCATGTGGGTTTGGTTAGGTTGGATTCTTTTGGACGGGTTAGTTCAGTTCGACAAAAAAAAAGCAAAACTGAACCGGACATTTTTCGGTTATCGATTAGAGCATCTCCAGCCCCACTCCATAATTTACAGCAAAATGGAGTGATGAAGAAACAAAAAAGTGAGTAATGAGATTTTTGTTTCTTCATTACTCCATTCTCCACTCTATTTTGCAGTAAATTATGGAGTGGGGTTGGAGATGCTCTTAGTCCGGTTTCAAAAACCTCTACCAAAATTTTCAAAATCGGATAAATTTTGGTTTATATTTGTTAAAAATCGAAAAAAATTTGGTTAGTTTTGTTCATAACTTTGGCCAATACTAGTGTAGCTTGGTTTAAAACTTTTTTAGAAAATCAAATAACCGGTTGCTGAACTGAAAACCGATCTTTTTTAATTGCGGAACCTAACTGAAGTAAACCAAAACAAAAACCCAAACATTTTGGTTCCCTTAGGCAGGTTCGGTTTGGTTAATAACCGCATGCCTAAGTTAGTTGGTTGGTTTGCTTACATGGATGAATGCGAGGTTGATGAGATAAGACATAAACTGTCCTCCAGTAGTGAGTAGTCCATTGGTACTAACCAACGCACCTCTTATTCTCGCTGGAGACATCTCTGAGATGTAAATAGGTGACGTCATGGAAGCCATACCAACACCAAAACCAACCAAGATTCTACCAACTATGATGACCCACGGTGCTGGAGCAAGGGCCATCACAACAGCACCAACCATGAAGAGAACGTCAGCAACGAGAATAGACGTCCTCCGACCGAACCTGTCGTTGTACCATCCTCCAACAGCTGCTCCAACGATGGCTCCAGCCACGGTCATGCTCACAATCATCTCCTGGAGCCATCTCTTGTCGTCAACTTCTTGAAACTCTTCTCTGATATAAAGAATCGCTCCCGCGATAACACCCGTGTCGTAACCGAAGAGGAGACCTCCTATACCGGCAGAGAAAGCTACCCTCATGATGTAAGGTGTCTCCCATGTTGTTCTCCACACCTCTGTGAAACGTATCTCATCTGTTTTGCCTATTCCACGTTCTACCATCTTTTTATAAACTTAGTACCTGCGTAACAAAATAAAAGCTGCAATAACGTTTTCACAGATTGTTAGATGTTTTGAAGAAATTTGGTTAAGAAGAGACTGTTCGAAAAGGTTCATAAAGGGAGTTAGAACATCACGTTCTACCTTCAGTTATTAAAGATTAACTTGACCGACAGTTGGCACAAAAACGGTAGAATGTTTTCTGTGAATTCAACATGCCAAATCATCATTTGCTTCTTGTTTATATAACCACTACCATACTATTTTTAGAACAAAAACCTTAGCTGATCCCAAAAAATAACAACAAAATATTATTTTCATAGTATATATACATAAACACAAATTAAACAAATTATATTATATTGCCAGTTTTGGGCAATGTGATACTTAAATTATCGCTGTACCTTGCCTAGTTGAACATGTGATGCTTTCATGATCGATGGTATGTATTAGTATGAAGAATTGGCTGACGTTAGCCTGATCAGTAATGTTAACAAAATGATATAGTATAGACAGGAAGTCTCCATTTCAAGGTTAGATATAGCTTCAGTTTTGTTGAGAGTTCGACAAGTACTTCAGCACAAACGGTTTTGTTTTGACAAAAAAAATGCAATCAGTAAGAATGAATATAGTATAGACAGGAAGTCTCCATTTCAAGTTGAGAAAAGTTTGTACGCTGCTTAACATGATTACAATTGCTTTTCCATACATCAGAGAATCTAAAGAACATAGAACATCACATATGTATTCTTTCAAATAAAATTCTTTCAAATATGTTATCTAGATTACATAAGCAAAGAACAATTGTATCCAATTTTAATGTTTTGAAAAGAAAACTACACTTTGATTGTCATCTTATTTCTCCCAAAATTTCATAATCTTTATGTCGGCAAGGTGTACTGCAACAGTGAAGTTATTGGCCTTTTGAGCGCAATAGCATAAATGTATCTTCAGCTGCAAGAATAAGAATTATTGAGAACAATATTTGCATAAATGTAGCTAACTGGGAGAGAGAAAAAAAAAAAAACTATGGACAAAACACATAACTAATCAGAAAAGTCAAATAAAAACAGAAGATCAGCCTCATAAGATAAGTTTATCAACACAGATTATTTAGACATATGCTTGTCTTTATCAAATTTAATCATCGGCCAATTAACAACAAAATGATCAAAAACTAGTAAAATTGGACTCAGAATATGGGTGGTGATATAACAGAATGGTCGGCAAATAAGCCATAACAGCTTATGTTACGACGAACGAGACCTTAATATCAATCGTCACTGTCCATTTAAAAATACTTAATAAAACATAGAACTCAATAAAAATGGGAGATAATCTCAGTAAAGCCAGCGTTTTTCACATCAAAGTAATAAAACTCAGACGGTAATTCCATATTTTAGCAAAGATCATCATCAATTACTCCCAACAATAACACTACAATTACTTAAAAATGTAATCACCATAATGGCCCCAAAGATCATAAGATCCACAGGTTCCTATCAGAAAGGCGAAACACAAACATTTGTTTATGTCCAATGTAGCATCGACGATCATTGCCCTAAAGCTATCGCAGACGTGGCATCGAACAATTATCATCTAAAATAAAAAACAATTAAATTAAAAACCCTCAGAAACCCGTTTAAAATCACCCACACAGAAAAGGACACAGAAACGAAAGAAAGTACGGTCAAGTTAAACCGCACCGAACAAATTAATAACCGATCCGTAAAACGAATCCGGTTAAGAAACTGATCGGGAACAGAGAAATCAAAACCGGATGCATTCTCCGATTCAGTCCGAATCTATGTTAAATTGTCATACGGCACTTCCTATCTTTGGGAATTCTTCTTCATCGGGTAATAAAAAGTATTATGACAGAACAAAAAATACGTATAGAGTAATAACCATCAGGAACCAAAAGATAACATCACAAGCAATACAGACCGCATCAAGGTTATGTCATTAACATGACCATCATTTGGTTACTCTCTTATCTAATATCAAAGATAATTAAAAAGGCTCAGAAAATATATGGGTAGAGATAGTTATCAGCACGAATCAGAGTGGTGCATGACATTCTCAATCATCACTGCCTTTCTAACAAAACAAAAACACTAAATGTAATAACAAACACTTAATAAAGCCTCAGAATTGCAGAAGTAACATCAATAAATAATCAGTCCCGAAAGATGGTGTTCTTTTATAATCTGATGTCCTCATCGGCTCTAAAACAATAATTAAAATTGAACAAACAATTGAAATATCCATCTCATGGCCATCCCAAACGGTAAAAGCAGCGACGCCGCTCCGCAGAGCAATAGAATATGAGAGCACGAATACCTCGGACGGAGAAGCCATAAAAGGCTCACTACAACGTCCTCGGATTACAGTTTTTCTTTATGACGTTTACTTGTGGATTATGCAATCACTGTAATTTAGATTGCTCCGTTAAGTATGATTTCTGGAGAGAAATCCCGTCAATAAGGAAAAAAGAAAGAGATACAATAGAGAAAGCTAACAAAGATTATGGACTATATCGCTGAGTTGAGGAAGAACGGTGATTTGAAGAATGATTGGTGGTGATGTGTAGTTATATACGATTGAGATATTAGGGCAACGGGACGTCCTAGAGATTGATTCACACGGCTTTAACGTTTACGGGGCCCTTAATAGCCCAATACTTACATTTTTTTCTTATTGTATTTGTTAACTGGTTATTCAATTACAAATGTTGGGCCGAACAAGCCCATAGTATTTAAATGTATGTGATTATCATAGGTTTTTAATCAAAAGCTTTATTGTTTAAGAAATTTTGGCAGTTTTAATCAGTTTTTTCTTATCGTAGTTGTTAACTGATTATTCAATGAAAGTCGTTTCCTCTAACCCTCCTCTCCTTGGAAAGGTGTATGTTGAAGTTTATTGTCGGTGATTAGTAGTGATTTTGTAATCTTTCAAGGCTTGATCGTGTTGTAGTTTGATTTTAGCATCTGTTATGTTGTTTTGAACCAGTTCTTGATGTACTTTTCTTTTATTTGGATCAATATATTATTTCAGAAGGCAAAGAAAAAATTCAGTCGACTGTGTACTAAAAGTTAGGTTGGTAAAACATCAATAGATGTGATCATTATAAGGCATAGAGATTGTTACATCTATAGATGAAAAGAAAAGAAGAAACATAAACTGTTAATTAAACACCTTTTGATGATATTTATTTCAAATTAACAGTGACAATGATTTCTTGTTCTATAAGTCGTATTTGTCATCATTAGTAAAGAAGCTGCGGTACTTAAAAGAGAGAACCATGATTACATACACTTTTATGCTCCACACCACTTCCATATTTCACCAACCCCACAAATCGGATGCAAATGTCTAGTTAATCATTTTCATATCCACTTTCCTTAATCCGATTGCAAAAGAAATAAACTAATTTCATCAATATTATTACATATGATTTTATATACAGCTAGGTGATTGTAACCTAATAATGATCATCATTTCATGGTCATGGGTTAAGGACATTATTCTTTTTCAAGACGCGTCATCTCTCACTCAAAAGCATTCTAGATATCTATAAATATGAAAATGCCTGGTGATACATCAAATAATCTGTTGAATGTTGACAAATCTTCATAATTAATTCCGTTGGACACGATTGATGAATCTTTTCAACCTTGGACGTTTTCCTAGGAGGAAATAAAAAGAAGCTCACCTTTCATCTCTACGTCTCCATCTTACATTAATAATCATGTGCCCTTAAATGCCCTAACCTCCAACGCCCATCTTACAATATAGTATCAAAAATCTTAATTTAAGACTCTAGTTTATTAAACACCCGTGTAGATGGACTAACTTAATTAACGATGTGCATATATGGTTTTGGTTCCGTGGAGGAGTTTCACTAACTTGTCTTCCACGCCACCTCAGCACTTTCGCTTCATCTCTCTTGTCTCATCCCTAGTCAAATGATTTAACAAACTAGTCTACTTTGAGGGATAGATAGAGACTTGAGTCACGGGTTACCACTAATCTCTAGATAAGACTATTTCAACTCTACACCTTTACATCAATAGTCTCTGTAATCTTCAATTAAATGTATTTATTACTACTTTTCAAGCCACTGGCTGCTTAATGCTTTAAAAGCGACAAATGAGCCAACGACAAACCAATGTATGTGACTTTGGTTTCTCACTTAAAGTTTTGTCTTTTATATAAATAAATCAAATTTACAGATAAAAAGATAAGTTTTTTCTCCCCGGAAACCAAAAATGAAGCTGAACGAACGGAAAGTGAGACTCACGGAGCTTATTCTGAGGTGTTTAGTGTGTGCCCTCGCCCTCGTCGCTGCGATTCTCATTGTTACAGATACTCAAGTTAGAGAGATTTTCACCATCAGGAAGAAGGCAAAGTACACCGACATGAAGGCGCTTGTGTAAGCTCACGAGATAAAACCATTTCACCAATCGAATCCAAGTTTGTATAATTTTGCACTTTTCTACGAGTTTTCAGGTTATTGGTGGTGGTCAATGGTATAGCCGCGGCTTATTCTTTGGTGCATGTGGTTCGTTGCGTGGTGGGTATGATGAAAGGAAGCGTTTTGTTTAGTAAGCCTCTGGCTTGGGCTATATTCTCTGGAGATCAGGTTTTACTCTGTTTTACTCAAATTAATCTTTATGCTCTCTGTTTTTGCTTTTTGGTCCAGTGAGTTTGCTATATGGATTAGTGAATGCTCAGAAGTCAGGACCATTAGAAAAGTTTGTTGTTTGAACTGTTTAGAATTATATTGTCGTTATATGAGTTTCATTTGTGTGGTAGGGCACAATAATTTACTGAACTGTAAGCTGCAATCTTCAAGTTTTGGTCTTTAGTAGGTAACATGCAACCAGATCAGGTTACTCTGTTTTACTTCTCTCTGTTCTTGCTTTTTGGTTCAGTGAGTTTGTGGGTCAGTGAATTCTCAGGAAGATTAGAGAAGTTTGGTGTTTGAGCTGCTGAGAAGTCTATTTGTGGTTAAATAAGTTTCATTTGTTTGGTAGGGCACAATAATTTACTGAACTGTAGGCATCTTCAAGGTTTTGGTATTAAGTAGGTACACTTAGGATTGTGATGACCTCAGATGGGTCCTGGTCAATGAAAGCTTGTGTAAGTGGCATTGTAAATGACCTTTGTTATGTGTGTTTAAGCAGGCGATAGCGTACTTGACTGTGGCGGGCCTTGCAGCAGCGGCGCAGTCTGCAGCCTTTGCGAAGTTGGGTCAGCCAGAGCTTCAGTGGATGAAGATATGCACAATGTATGGGAAGTTTTGTAACCAAGTTGGTGAAGGAATTGGGGTAGCCTTGCTTGCTAGCATTGGTATGGTTATGATCTCTTGCATCTCAGCTTTGGGTCTATTTCGTTTGTATGGTGGTAACAAAGCTCGGCAAAGCTCACGGTGGTGAAGGGGAAGGCTCATAATGGTCTTGGACTAATCTTGTTTGTGGAACCTGTGTTAAAACTTTCTCTTAATGTGTACACCGTCTATTAGTACTGTCATTTGCACAAATAATCATCAAAATTGTAGCTTGATAGCGAGACTATAACCATGTTAGTTGTTAAACCACAAATATGAAGGACATTGTTTAGTCTATTTTGGGTTTTAGGTGCTTAATTAACCAAAAAGCGAAACTTCAACCACCCATTAATTTCATATAATGATGGATCACCATCAAACTTTTGAAGTTTTAACTTCATTTATCAAAAAACAATCACGTCGTCAAAACTAATAGCTATATGTAGACGTGGCTAAATAGGGAAAGTTACATATAGAGATATAGACTCAAGGGAATGCAAGCTTTTTCAAAATTGTCCCCTCAAGTATTTTAGTTGAGAAACAGCTCTCTTGTTTTTTCTTTTAGAAAAGAAGAGAATCTCTAAGTTTTGGGGACAAGATGGAGAAGAAGGTGGCTTTGGTATTATCATTGATGTTGCTTGTGTCTATGGTGTCAGTGTTGGTTTCTGCTGAGGAAGCACCAACGGTTGGACAAAGGATAGATACAGCTGTGAACGACGTTACCAAGTTCTTCAATGAACATGCCGGTCCTGCCGTGGACACCATCTCCTCCACTGCCAAATCTGTCTTTAACTGGTTTGGTGATAAAGCTAAGTATGTTTTATAAACCCTATTTTCTCTCATCTCATACCTTCTAATTTACACAAGATTCTGCAATGCATAGAAATTTTGTCCTATTACCTCTTAGTCTTACTAGTTTTGTTTCTTTTGTAGGGAATGGGGCCTCTAAACGATATGTACATGAGCTGGGACTTGGGAATGGAAACATTTCATGAATACGAATTTTATCTCTATGTACTACTTTATATTCAAAATTAACATTAATACTAGTAAGAAAGTTGATATAACATCTATGTTCGCCTTCCATAAGTTCAAATAACTGCACACAAATCATTCACATATAACATCTTTTATATACATGAAAGATGAGCTAACGTGGGAACTCCAAACACAAGGGCTAAAACAGCCATGAGGCCCAATTATATATATCTCTACGTGCAATACAATGAAATAGAAACAAAGAAGAAAATTAAAAATTCACTAAAGTGGTGAAGAAAGAGAGAAGTAAGGAAGAAGTAATCAAGAAGAAGCAGAGGGAAGTGAATGGTTGGCTAGGAAATGTGAGAAGAGGAAAAAAGCTAGACGAGGCTGTGACAATGGCACCTCATGCCCCGCGGCTCTAACCGTTGCGTATGTTAGCAAGCCACCCTCGTAAACCTGGCTCCACCCTCCCACTAGGCCGTGTGAGTGGTACCATGGATACCACCTTTTGCTGGTCTTCAATTTCATCGCATTTATCGAATGCCTCGTCCCACTTAGTGGCAGCACTCCGTCTGAGTCCCCACTATATACATACAGTGCCACAAAATAAAATTTGTTAGAGATCTCACATCATAAATAAATATATATAGTAAAAAATATGGATCAGTCCATTTTTAATTCTCTATCAGCCTTAATATTTTTTTTACGATATATATAATTAATTATTCTACCTGAAGATCCAAATGCGGAGATGAGCTTGAAGAAGCTCTTTAATGATGGGAAGCATAGATTTGGGTGAGTCTTTCCAATTCTTTCTTATCACACGACTACAAGGGGTCCAAGAAGTACGGTTAAGGCGGGCATGGAAGGCTTTGTGCACATAGGGATCGTTCATATACTTGCGTGTGTATCCCACAACGCACTCATCGTTCCCTCTATACCGCCAGGCTTGCCTCCACTCATTAGATGACGAGCCTTTGGTGCATGCAGGGCGATTGATGTTGTAAGGATCGATGTCACCAAACTCAGAGAAGGCTTGGTTAAGTGCATTGTCGCAGTTTGGTTTGGGAAAGAGGATGGTGTCATTGAGGCACCATTTAGTCAGTTCAAAGTAGCTTTCGTCCGATATGAGCCCATGGTTCCACCAGTACTCATGCATCCCTTTGTTGTCATTGTAATCATCCACCAGAGGATTCCCCATCTTTCATATTTTCATATTTATATAATCATTCATTTTAGTATTCAATAGTTTATTTAGTTGATTTCTAAATGAGTATATATAAAATCAAAATACTTACCAGGATCCCTTTTAGATTGATAATGGGTTTATTGGTACCCTTGTTACGGTTGACAATCAATTGAGCTAGCTGCGGAATATAATGTCCTAGTTGACCACCAACACAAAACAAAACCCAATCCAATAAGATCACATTGTCATTATTGACCACTAAGCATATCATTCATACGGGTTGTATATGGCAATTCTAGCTGCAACGTCACAACACTACAATATTCGTATTCATATGGTGTATATTAGAGACTAAAGCTGGTCACAAAAGGAAAGTCAATTGGGTTGTTGTTGAACCTATTATTTCTCTAACATAGTGCCTTGTTTTTATACATGAACGTGGTATGATACTAAGTATCACGATCATTTGGTTCAACTGCTTAGGAATAAAATAGTCTTAATAGCAAATAACGTATTTAACAAATATTTTTTTTTTTTTTAAAAATAACTAACTAGGAAATAAAAGTAGTAATAAAATGAAGGAATATACGGAAGTACCGGCGTAGCTCTCGCCGGCGATGTAAAAAGGCCTTCCTTTATACTCAGGGAACCTATCCATCCATCTCACCAAGAATCTGTATGCATCCTCTCCTGTCCCCACATTTCACAATCCATACCATATATATATTAGTTAATGATGTAATTATAAAGACTTTTTCTTGGATTCACCCCCTAGGGTGAACCTCTAGGTTCACCAACCAATAGGAATGTGTTATTTCATATTTGATATCTTTTAAATAAGGAAATAAAATCTTGTTAAATCATATTATTTTTTAAATAAAAAAATAAAAAAATAAAATATTAAAAAACGAAAAATATTCTTTTAAAATATATACTTTAATAGTATATTATCTTTTTTTAAAAAATAATAATAATTTGTGTTAAAATAATTTTAGTGTTTTTAAGATTTATCCAAAGACTTATGGTTTACCCAAGGGTTTAGGATTTAGGATTAGGGTTTAGGGTTTAGGGTTTAGGATTAGGATTAGGGTTTAGTGTTTTAGTTTTAAATATTTTTTTTAAATAATTGTAATTTTAGTGTTTTTAAGATTTATCCAAAGGGTTTATGGTTTACCCAAGGGTTTAGGGTTTAGGATTAGGGTTTAGGGTTAGGATTTAGGGTTTAGTGTTTTAGTTTTAAAATATTTTTTTAAAAAGAATTGTTTTTCGTTTTTGTAAATATTTTTATTTTTATTTCATTATTGTATTTTTATTTAAAAAACATAATATAACTTAACAAGATTTTATTTCCTTTTTTAAAAGATATCAAATATAAAATAACAGGATCTTATTGGTTGGTGAACCTAGAGGTTCACCCTAGGGGGTGAACCCAAGAATAACTCAATTATAAATACTTTATTATGATTATAAAAAAATTACAAGCCTATTATATATAAGACCTGTCCTCTTGTCTCCCACGGTTAGTTCGTCTGACGAAGTGTTTGTGTAAGAGAAACCAACCCCCGCCGGTGAATCCAAAAACAACAGATTTGCCTCTGCGTACATTATTATTCATTAATTTAAATAAACATTACTCCTAATTAATAAATTTGATTAATTTATAGAATACCTTTGTTCCAGGCATAGGGATTTAGACGAAGAGTCTTTCCATCTGGATTAACCCGAAATGGACCAACCTCCTCGGATGCACCGTAGGCAATGGATGAGCATCCAGGACCACCATTGAGCCATAGGACCAGGGGCTTGGTGCCACTGGGCTTAGTGGCCTTGGCTAGCCAGTAAAATAGAGCTCGTCCGGCCGCTGAATCAACAGTAACGTAGCCAGAGAATTGAGAGAAGTTGAGGTTAGTAGGTTGGCCTGGTAAAGAGAAGATCTTGTCCCTCATCTTTTGCTCCTTAGCATCGTCACTACTACTCATGACTACGTCAAATAACACAATGATCATGCTTAATAAACACATACATTGATACAGTGTTACCCACTTTCTGCTTTTTGTGATCATCATCATCAAAGAAAGATTTAAGTTTTTTTGTGTGTGTGTGTATGTGTGTGTATTTCGTGGGGTTTTTAGTTTCTTACCTTGATGAATTTATAGCATAGATAAACGAGGGTCGTTGTCAAGTTATGCCATTTTAAGGGATCATGTGGTGTATTTAATATTTATTTATTCTGAAACTGTTGATTATTATGCATATAGTCAAATTAGCTTACTTGTGGATTGAGTATGCTGACTACTCGAATATTTGCTATAGTTTATACACATTATTGTGTTTGTTATTCTTTGGTATCCTGTACATGTATGCTTATTTCATACTGATAGTTATATTATGTTTATTTTATTAAGTTTTATCGTTACCTAGTCATTGTCGTAATAGTAAACTTTAGGTTTCATGATTTCATGATGAAGGTGAACTATTTTAGCTATATATATATTAGCTTTGACTAGTTACTAAAAGCTATATAAATGATTGCTTACACCGTAATTTAGTCATGTATTTCACATGGAGAGGTGTAGACGTGTATCTTATATAACATAAAGTGGGATTTGTATGACCTCACAAATTAACGATAATCATTTAAAATACATATATCACAAATAGTTTTTAGTTTAATGAGTTGGTTTAATTGGTAAGCTGATTTTGTTTGACATTTAATGGCTTGTCTGTTCATATTTTTCACTTTTAGTTTCACCTAATGCCGATCTTGTTGGACCATAACAATTTATTTGTGTTCCCTTTTGTCCAAACCCTTTTGTTTCAGTCTTCTATATAACTTATTGTTGCAATTCTATTTTTTTCTTTAACGGCAAACATTGCTTATATCAATGAAGCATTGTAGTCCTCAAGGAGGACATTTACAATCGAAGTTAGTACAAAATAATGATACATGAAGAAAAATGTTGCAATTCTATTATCGAAGTTTTGTATAAAGCTAACAAAAACGATTCATTTAACAAACTTCAAAATTAAGAAAATACTTACATGAACTGGACCAACCCCTTGGTTTTTGTTTGCTTTTTCATTGTTGATCAAATCTAATCATATCTTTTTTCAGTGAGTTATAGTCCAAAGAAAAATCAACAAATGAGGTGTTCATAAATCGTAAAGTGAGCAACCCCAAATATGATCATGTGCCTAATTAAATGCATTCCTTAAAATGAAAGAGCCGACTACGGACTATGTGTTAAAATAGATTTTAAAATAAGTAAATACCGTGTCTTACTCGCTTCCTTGTGTACCAAGAAAAGCAACGGAAAGCCTTAATTTAATGGTAGCAGCTAAGCAACACACACATCAACAGACAACACTCATTATTATCAGATAAAATTTAATTAATGTCTACTCAAAGCTTTTACAAATAAAAGTAAATGCAAATTTATAACAAGTTTACAGAAATAGAAGTTCTGTGGTAGTATTACCAATGAGCTGAAACACTGTGTCCTATATCACTCACAGTGTCTTAACATTTACATTGGCTTGTTGTTGAGAAACGACTGAAAAAGAAGGAAACCTCGACGTGGTCGGTGGAGAGGTACCTCGTGCCCTGCTCCATGTATTGTCACTAAAGTCAGTCCTTTGTAAACTTGGCTCCATCCACCAACCTGTAGTCACACATTTACACATTAACTAACTACACAAAGAACTAAAGCTCTGTTTTGGTTTTGTTGCTTCTGTACCTGTTCATTGTCGTACCAAGGGTACCATTTGGAGACTGGTTGTAACTTTAGGGCTCTGATAGAGTATCTGGTTCCAGTTATGGGAACCACTGAGTCAGTATCTCCACTGCATTTAAGATTAATGCAACAATACATCAACCTAGATGGATAACAACACATTTGATAGAAATGAGAGTAAGATATACCTGAAAACCCATATCCTGAGGCCTGCACCAATGAGTTCCTTGTAGATTGGAAGCATAGAGAGAGGAGAATCCGCCCATTTTTCTCCAACAATGTCACTAAAACACCACAACTATGTCACCAAACACATTGCTCTAGTACATTTGATAATCACTTGAAGCGTTTGTTACCTGCATGATTTCCATGGATAAGCAAGTCCGGTTACATTAGCATGCATAGCCTTTTGAACCTCTGGAGAGTTGAAATAAATGCCGGAGTATCTCTCTGTGCAAGGGTCATAAGCTCTCCACATCCATGGCTGAGTCAACAGACACAAAAGATCATAGCAAGGTTATTGATTTTTCAAACCCACAACCTGTATAGACTGTGCCTTATAGTAGACTAACTTGAACTTAGAGAAGCAACCATATAGCCAATCAACAGTTCAATCCTATAATCATGCTACATATAAAGTGGGCATTGATGGAAACTCACTCGACGAACCCTCAAGAAGCGTGATCTAAGAGCTGCAGCTTCCTTCTTACAAGTGATAGTGTAAATGCTATAAGGATCAATATCTCCTTGCTCCTTGTCTGCAGCTTCCATTGCCTTGCTGCATTCAGGGGAAGGGTGCTCGGATGATACAAACTCACAAGTGATCCTTAAGTTGTGGTAAGTGAGATCAGATATCAACCCATGAGTCCACCAATATTCAAACAACCCCACAAAATCATGGTAGTCATCAATCACAGCATTCCCCACCTAAAAAATAGAAATAAAAAATCAACACACACACACATAAACAAAAGAGGTTGTGTGTGCTTTAGTTTTGCTTACAATGAAGCCTTTGAAGTTGATAGCTGGATTGTTTCTCCGGTGAACAATCTGTGACAACTGAGGCACATAGTGACCAGCATAGCTTTCTCCAGCAATGTAGAACTCTCTGTGTTTGTATTGTGGAAACCTCTCAAACCATTTCACAAGAAACACATACGCATCTTCAGCTGCATGCAAAATTACACAAAACAGTAAGATAAAGTGATTGTTAATTCTGGAAGTGTACTTAAATCTTGGTGCACCAGTAAAAGAAGCTCGCATTCGTTAAATTAGGAAATTACTTTTTCTAGGATAAATATGTTTTTCTAAATGGAAAAAAGGAATAAGTTACTATAAACCTATTAATTCACATAATCAATATAAAAATACTAAACAGATATTTGACTCAATTTGTTTTTTTTTTCTTTCTGCTCTTTAGTTTCTTTGTTTTCTTCAAATTGGTTAAAAATCAAGAGCTTCTTCATACCTGTTCTCTGATCACCAGAAGTGTACAAGTCAGAGGTAGTATTCGAATACGAGAAACCAACACCAGCTGGAGACTCAAGAAACAGCAAGTTCGCCACTGAGGAAAGAAGAAACAGAGAAAAATCTTCAGAGTCTGAACTCAATAGAAATTTAGATACAGAGAGAGAGAGAGAAATTTAATTACATTTGTTCCAAGCGTAAGGATTATGGTAAAGTGTTTTGCCATCAGGGTTGATCCTAAAAGGACCGATCTCTTCAGCAGCGCCATAAGCTAAAGAGGAGCAACCAGGTCCACCGTTGAGCCAGAGGACAAGTGGTTTTGACTCTGGCTGTTGACTTGACTCGGTGAGCCAGTAGAAGAGCGCTCTACCAGCTGACTCGTTGACCGTGATGTAACCTGAGTAGTGAGAGAAGGTGACATCGTTAGGCTGGCCGGGGAGTTGAGAGATTCTGTCGTTTTCTTGCGCGTCTTTGCAAGAAGATGAGAAAGGGAGGAGGAGGACAAGGAGGAAGAAGACGACGAGGAGTTGTGGAGACATGGTGAAATGATGTGGTGAAGATCTCAATGTTTTCGTTACAAAGATCATTGTGTGAAGTAGTAGTTGGTGTTTGGTGGTCCAGATAATTTTTCAATAAGTGAGTGATGTAATAATGTGAACCGTTATTTTTATTTTTACAGCATTGACATTTCTTTGGAGTCGAACACGTTACCTAGTAGTTTTTGTAGAGTTTTAACTCGCCACTAGACCACCAAAAGTAAATATTCGGCAAAGTACACACAACTCTAAAACCCTACAAGATTCGTTTTGAGAGACCTGAGAGTCGTGCAATCGAAACGGCGATGGGAAGATCAGCTCTGATTCATTTGATTCGCTCTCAATCTCGCCGTCTCTCTTCTTCCTCCTCCTCCTTCACTTCAGGTTCTTTTATCTCTATCTCGATCATTGGCTTCTTGGGGTTTCGTGTCTAATTGCTAAAACCTCTCTCGTGATTCTGTTTCATGGTTAAAAGCACCTTGCTTGATCTGACCTAATCTCCAATAAGGTTTGATTGAATTTGACTTGAGCTATATCCAATCCACCATAGCTTCAATTAAATCAGAAAATGGCATTTAAGTAATTTGAGTCTTACCAGTTGTTAAGACAGTACATAGTTTAGGTCCAATGCTATTGATATAATCTTGCCGTGTTTCTGTCCTTCAAAAGTTAACACTGTGTCTGATTATTTAGTTGAGTTTTTTTTTTTTTTTTTTTTGTTAGGGTTTAGTAACAGATTCAACAAGCATCAGAATCCTTATTTCGTTTTTTCAGGTTATCGCCGGTCAATAGCAGGAACATGTCCACCATCATCACCATCAGTGATCCCTAAGGTTAGTTTCCCAGAGACTCCATCTCTTCACCAGAGAAGCTGGGCATCATCTAGAGCAAACACTAGAGAAAACGATAACGACGATGACCACAAGATCAGCATCGGACCACAAGACAAGAAAGAAGACAACGATAGAAGCGTAGTTTACTACGGCCCAATCTCATCAACCATAAAGAAAGTGAAACTCCTCTCACTCTCCACTTGCTGCCTCTCCGTCTCCCTCGGCCCAGTCATCACCTTCATGACTTCACCGGGACTCAACGTGATCATGAAAGGTGCGGTTGCCTCAACCGTGATCTTCCTCTCCGCTTCCACGACCGCTGCTCTCCACTGGTTCGTTAGCCCTTACGTTCATAAGCTGAGGTGGCAGCCTGGTTCGGATACTTTTGAGGTGGAGATGATGACTTGGCTTGCTACGTTTACACCGAAGACGCTGAAGTTTTCGGATATACGTTATCCGGATACGCAGAGGCCGTTTGTGAGTTTTAAGGCGGATGGGGAGTATTACTTTGTGGATGCGGAGCGTTGTCATAATAAGGCGTTGTTGGCTAGGCTTACTCCTCCAAAGGATGCTCATGACTCTGCTTTCAAGAACCTGTGATCCATTTTCCTCTTCTTTATCATACTCTCTCTCTATCTCCTTTTGTGTGGGGTTTTGGTTGGTTTGTAACTCTTTTGGACCCCTTGGACTACCGGAGAATGCAAATAATGAAAGAGTTTATAAATGCGAATGATTAGTAAGTTCTTTTGTTGTAGAGAAGCTGTTAATTCTCTGTGGTTTATTTATTTTTGGTGAAGTACGCCTTGAAAGATTAGGAAAATCTATGTCATTAGAACTTGGGCCACAACGGGCCGGCCCATTAGGCTGGTACGATGTGTGTTGTTATATGTACATTACAACTAGCCGGTACGAACCAGTTGTAATTAAACCATGATCTTGATGAGTAAACCAGATCGTAATTAAATACACTTATAGTCCAGTCCCTTTAAGAGCGATCGGAGAGCTCACCGGAGCCGTGTTGGCAAAAAAATCAGTGGATGAAACGAAGAATACCAGTTTCCTGAATGGTAATTCCGATCACCTACTCTCTTAAGGCTCTTCTTGTCCCGTTAGATTCAGATTCTGCCATCTGCTTTTGGTCCATTTTCATCAATTTTTAGGCTCTGTTCAGTCGTTTTTTTTTTTTTTTTAAATGCGTATGTCTGGAAGCTCTCTAATCATGTTCACACCCCCCCCCCCTTTTTGATAATGAATTTGGTGGATATATATTGATCATTCTATTAATATCAAGAGATGAGACTCATAAGATCTTTGAAGAGTTTTGAATTTGGATTGGTTCCTCTCTTTTAATAAGGAAGTGATCCTTCTTCTACCACCTTGAAGATTCTGTTTTTGGTTTTGAGCTCATTTATCCTTGTAAGAGTCTGTTCCCTTTGGATTCCTTCTTTGTGCTTAACCCTGACTGATGTGTCCTCTATTACTTCTTCTCCTTAGATCTGTGTTCCTTTCAAAATGTATTTCCTTTATTAGACAATGAATATATAATTAAGCATACAAATGGATAATTTGGGTATGTGTGTTTGGTACCATCAGGCGACACCATTTTTGGCTGGAGCTGCGATAGCTGCGACTGCACTTGCTGGTAGATACGGAATCCAAGCATGGCAAGCATTCAAGGCAAGGCCACCTAGACCCAAAATCAAGAAATTCTATGAAGGTGGTTTCCAGCCTACCATGACCAGAAGGGAAGCTGCTCTCATTCTTGGCATCAGGTAGACCAAAACTAATATTTGTGTGTGATCTACATATCCTTGAATTAGCATTAGTCTCATTCAGGAAAGTGGTTACATTTGTTTCAAACACACAGGGAGAGTGTTCCGGCGGAGAAAGTGAAGGAAGCACACAGGAAAGTGATGGTTGCAAACCATCCAGATGCAGGTGGTAGCCATTTCTTGGCCTCTAAGATCAATGAAGCTAAAGACGTCATGCTCGGCAAAACCAAAGGCGGTGGATCCCCCTTTTGATAACACACATTTCTTAAAATCAAATACACTACATTGGAATAATCTCTTTGTCATAGCGTTTCACTGTTGAAGTGGGAACTACAGTCTATTAAGTGCTTTGCCGTCTCTTTGTAACACTATAAAGACTCGAATATTTCTTCCGACTTGTCACAAAAAGAAACAGCATAACAAAACGCTAAGCAGAAGGGCGTTGTTGTCTTTCCAGTAAATAGGAACAAAAAGTCCACGTGTCATGAGGCTCCACCGCCTTCTTACGTCAGCCTCTATCCATTCGTTCAACTCCTCGCTCCACAAAATCATTTTTTAATCCTTTTCTGTAACTTATTAGTATTATTTATCTACAGTCTGTCATGAGGAAAAATCATTTCAGCTCCTTTTACCTTTTTTTTTTTAATTATTATTTTTACTAATTTTCATTTGCTAATTTTTTTTTTGTTAAAACTGTGTTATCACTTATCATAGAGAGACTCGGTCATGATTTTATCCACTACGTGAAAAATAATCCAATAAATATCCCTCTCCAATAAATATCCAAGTCTTTATCCTCTTCGATTTTTTAAAAAAAATATATTATTTTTTTAAATTTCCGTAAAAGAAAGAAAGGAAAAAAACAAAGAAGAAGAAGAAGGAAAGAGGGGTCATAATCGTTTCATGGTTGCCTCTTCTTCTTCTTGTTCTCACTCCCCACCATATCTGCTCTCCCCTATCTCAGCTTCAACCTCTTTAAAAAAACCTTAAAAGCTCCCATTTTTACTCCATTTTCGTTTCCTTTCGTCCTCTCACTCCACGTTTCGCTTAATGCTCAGATTAATGATCTGAACCGCATCTGAAGAATCTCTCGCTCGATTTCGCGGTCTTAGGGTTTCTATAAAAACTTTGATTCGTCCGTTTTGTTTATAGTTAGCGTTTTGTTTTCTAGGGTTAACGAGTTAGTCTTAAAGATTCGATTTTGCAACTCTGTTTTTGTGTTTGGTTTATCCCCCCATTGAATGGTGCAATGGTGTCAGCGAATGACCCTATCGAAACTATATTCAATTCAATCCAAGTCGTTAAAGACGCTCTTCTCCCCATCGAGCTAGGCGTCAAGAAGGCCGCGAAGGACATCGAGAGCTGCTGGATTAGCAAAGAGAAGGACTTTCGTTTGAGAAGAAACAGGAGGAAGCGTGTGTTTGCTAGTCCTGACACGGAGGAGGAAAGTGTTGACAGTGTTCAGTGTTTGGTGAGTGGAGAGAGGAAGAAAGGTTTGTCCTTTAAGCTCCCTGTGAAGTCACTCTTCGTGAAGAAGAAAGACAAGTCGTTGGAGAAAGATGACGGTTCTTGTACGAATTGCTTCAAGTTTGCTATGACTTGGTCTTTGTTGGTTAGTGGCTTTGTCCATGCTTTTCCGGTTCCTTTTAAGATAGGAGGCAAGAAGAGGATTATTCATGATGAGAATTGTCTTAAGCAGAATCTTAAACCAAAGGCTTCATTTGTTAACCGGAAAGAGATTGGGAGGAACCAGAAAGAGAACCCTTTTTCGATTGAATGCGCTATGGGGTTTGTTATTGAAATGCTAGCTCAGAATCTCCAGAAGCTGGACCAGTTCATTCAAGATAGTTCACAGACTGAGTCTTGTTGTTCGAAGGAAACTAGTCGACTTATCTTTAATATATGGGATGTTAGGAAACTTGATGTTAATGGATTTTTAGGGAACCTGATGTTTGCCAGAGTTGGAGATGTGGCGTCGGGTATAGTTGGGTTGACATCTTCCGTAAGTGAAGATGGTGATGAGAGTAACGTTGGTAAGGAGGAGAGTGTAGTTGATTCTCCACAGAGCCTGGCTAGTGGACTACTGAGTATACCTTTGTCAAATGTAGAGCGCTTGAAATCCACTTTGTCCACGATTTCATTGACTGAGCTTATTGAGCTTTTACCGCAACTAGGACGACCGTCAGGAGACCATCCGGACAAGAAAAAACTAATCTCTGTTCAGGACTTTTTCAGATACACCGAGTCTGAAGGTATGAATCCTCCAAATTTTTTGGTTTTGTTTTAGACATACTACATCATGTCTTCACTTTCATTGCCTGCTCTAGTCATCATCCTAAACTATTGGTTAAACTGTTATTGTTATAATTTAAGTTATTTGTGCTGTAATGTCACAATACTAGATTGTATGCTAATATAAAAACACATATTTTATTTGCTTTTGAAAATTTGGAATAGCATTAGTTGTTTACTTTCTGTACTACAATTATTCAATTTCGTCCAGTATAACTCTCTGTGTCTTCCAGGCAGGAGATTTTTCGAAGAATTAGATAGAGATGGTGATGGTAAAGTAACTTTGGAAGATCTGGAAATTGCAATGAGGAGAAGAAAATTGCCTAGAAGATACGCCAAGGAGTTTATGAGACGAGCGAGGAGTCATCTTTTCTCGAAATCATTTGGTTGGAAGCAATTTTTGTCATTGATGGAACAGAAGGAGCCAACCATTCTACGTGCCTATACTTCTCTGTGTTTGACCAAGTCTGGTACTCTTCAGAAGAGTGAGATATTGGCATCACTAGATAACGCAGGACTTCCTGCTAATGAAGAAAACGCTATAGCCATGATGAGGTTTTTGAAGGTTGATACTGAAGAGTCTATCTCTTATGGTCATTTCCGTAACTTCATGGTTTTGCTACCATATGAGCGATTACAGGATGATCCTCGGTAAGTATAAGTCTTTGCAGTAAAATGCCAATTTCACCAGTAGAAATGTTTGTGTTGAATGGGACAAGTATTCTCGTAGTAGCTCTATCTGTTTCATGTTTGATTTAAAAGTTGAATTATTGTTGGCCTACTAATGATGATTGGTGCTAATTTTGCTCGTGTAGTAACATCTGGTTTGAAGCTGCAACTGTTGTTGCTGTTGCACCTCCCGTGGCCTTACCTGCTGGAGATGTTCTAAAATCTGCATTAGCGGGAGGACTTGCCTCTGCTCTCTCTACTTCCCTATTGCATCCGATTGATACAATCAAGGTGAGTCCTCTTGTTGCCTTTGCAACTGATTAATATACTTGATATCTGCTGCTAGCCTTCTACAATGTTTGCGTACTGTTGGATTGATGGATTCGTTGTTCATTTTCGTTACTAGACTCGTGTGCAAGCATCAACCTTATCGTTTCCTGAAGTAATAGCAAAGCTTCCAGAGATTGGTGTCCGGGGAGTTTATAAGGGTTCCATTCCGGCAATTCTTGGACAATTTTCAAGGTCTTTTCACTTGTTCCAAATCAATGATATTGTGACTTCTACTTCCTAAGATTCATTTTAAATGTGGCTTAATCTCTTTCATGTTGTAGCCATGGCCTGCGAACAGGAATCTTCGAAGCAAGTAAACTTGTGTTGATCAATTTTGCTCCCAATCTCCCAGAAATTCAGGTGATGGTCACTGTACTTGTTTGGCTGCTTTGGCCAGGATTCCAGTTTTGTGCTTCAAGTTTATGTTCCATTATGGGTTCATATAGCTATTGCATTACTGAAGAAGCTAGTATTAGTTCTCCTACAAACCCCCGCTCTGCTTTTGTCGTCTGTAGCGATATAGCATCTACTAAGTGAACCTTATACTAGATGCATCCTGCAAAAAATTAATATCAAGGCTATGTCATTGCATACGTAGCTTCTCTAATGCTTTTTGTGACATGGGAGAACACTGTACTAGTAGTTATGTGAATTTTGTGGCGACACTGGAGCTACGAGGTCTCTTAGACCTTAAAATGCTTGGTTGGTAAAGTTGCATCATGCAGTTGCTTTTTGTTCTTTGTGTGTTTGCACTAAGTAAGCAATGTTGGGCATTTGACGCAGGTTCAATCGATTGCATCATTCTGCAGCACACTATTAGGCACGGCTGTACGGATTCCATGTGAAGTGCTGAAGCAACGGTTACAGGCTGGCATGTTCAACAATGTAGGGGAAGCCATTGTAGGTACGTGGAAGCAAGACGGTCCAGGAGGGTTTTTCCGTGGGACAGGCGCAACTCTCTGCCGTGAAGTTCCACTATACGTTGTTGGCATGGGACTGTATGCAGAATCCAAAAAGGTAACAAAGACCGAGATAATCAAAATGGTAATTAAAGACATGTAAAAAACCGAGATGATGATGACTTTGTTTTGTAGATGGTGGCACAAGCCCTGGGAAGAGAACTAGAGGCATGGGAGACGATAGCTGTTGGGGCGTTGTCAGGAGGTATAGCAGCAGTTGTAACAACGCCGTTTGATGTGATGAAGACAAGAATGATGACTGCAACACCTGGAAGACCAATCTCAATGTCAATGGTTGCAATCTCGGTTCTGCGCAACGAGGGACCGCTTGGTTTGTTCAAAGGAGCAGTCCCGAGGTTCTTCTGGGTGGCTCCTCTTGGTGCCATGAACTTTGCTGGTTATGAACTTGCGAAGAAAGCTATGCAGAAGAATGAAGAAGCTTTGGTGGCTGATCAGCTTGGTCAGAAGAAGCTTTGCTAATGGTCTTTTTTTGTTTTTTTTACTTTGCTTCGCTGCTACGATGTTTTTTTTTGGGGGCAGCTTGAGCTGGAGGGAGACTACTCTTTGTTAAATGCTACTTTGCAAATTTTGACCCCAAAAAAAGAGTTGATTGTTTAGTTCGAAGACATTTTTCATCTTATTCATTACGTTAGAAAACTTTCGTCTAAAAAGGTTACTTATTCATAACACTAGTGATGGTGTTCCTCTAAGGAGTAAGGGCCGTCCGATCGAAATCACGAAAATGCAAAATGGCCCCTAACTTTCTTATTAGTTTTCATTTTAAACCCCGACTATTTAAATAAACAAGAAAAACCCACAACTGAGTTTTATTCTTTCGAGTGTATAATATTATAATCCTACTCCTTGTTGTGGTCTTCTACTAGGCAATAATGGCGGAATCTTCGGTGAAAGTCAACCTGATCCCGATCGAAGCAACATCTGAAAGCTTTGCAGATTATGGCCAAGTCATCGAGGCTTCCTCAGACGGTGATCAGTTCGGTCCTAACGATGCTCAATTAGATATCTCCAGAGGAATCCCACGGTACTCTCTCCGATCTCTATCACATCAATCTCTGCTGTGTTGAGTCAAAGACTTGGCTCTGTCTAGTTCTGTTTTATGTCTTCTTGTTATAACCAGAGCTTCTTGTTGTTACTCTCTCCCTTAGTTTCTATATCATGCAGCTCCAAGGTCGATCTTTCTGCTTCTCCTCGATCGCTCACCACGCAAACGTGACACAATGTCTAGGATCAATAGGAGGTCATGTTTGGTATCTTGGAGTAGCTAAATCATCTCTTATTGAAGATGTTGATAGAGAAAGAGTTGTTGGAGATAATGTAGAATCTGGTTCCGATGGTCACTTGTACGCGCCTCCTGCGGTTGAAGAGGTGCGCGTCTTCAGGTTTTCCGGACCAAAGTTTGTTAAACTGAACCGTGGCACGTGGCATGCTGGACCGTTGTTCAGTGAGAGTTCCATGGACTTTTACAATTTAGAGCTGAGTAACACATATGTGAGTTAGTTTTTTTTAGTGTTAAAAAAAAAGATGTGAATTAAGTGATTTTGGGTTTTGACATTGTTGGTGTGTTGGCACAGGAGGTGGATCATACGACACATGATTTCGAGAAGAAGAATGGGGTCATCTTCAGGTTTGACTGAGCACATCGTCCTAAGTCAAAATCCTCTATAAGATCAGTGTGGTTCAGTTTTTTTTTCATGTCTTGTAAGCAAATAGAATGATAAATGTTTTCTTGTATTCAATGTGCCCCAAAACTGTCTGTGTACAACTTGTAACTTCTCTAAATCTGTTCAAATATTTGTATTTGCATTTTGGTCTTTACAATTAAATATTATATTAATAATGAATTAAACATTTTATTTATGATTATTACATATTTTTTCTTTATAATTTTAATATCTAAAATTTTCTATCACATAAATATTCTTTCTATATAAATTTGAATTTTACACACAAAATTTCAGAAAACTTCAAAATAAGATTTAAAATATCTTAAAACTAGAGTCAAACATCAATGATAATACAAAAGATTGTCAACAAAAAAAAATACAAAATAATTACGTATATATATATATATATATATATATATATAGAAGAATACATAAATACATAGTTCCATATTTTTTGTTTATCCTTTAACGTCTAAAATTTTCTATTTCATAAATTTTCTTTTTATATAAATTTAAGGTTTACACATAAAATTTCAAAATAAGATTTAAAATATCTTAAAACTAGATTCAGACATTAATGATAATACAAAAAATTATCAAAAAATAATAATACAGAATAAATAAATATATATATATATATAAGAATACATAAATACATAATTATCACACAAATTTAATTAAATATTATAATAACACTAATAGTCACATAACAAAATCTCTAAAATTTCCAAAATATTGTATAAAGAAATTTGGGATTTTGCACTCCCTACACACAACTAATACCCTATTTGCACTCTCTACTCTATTTCCCCCAGTTTTGACTCCTTTTGTTATCAATTTTTCTCCCCAAAATTAAGGTATTCAACACCTTTTAGTATTTTGAGCAAATTGACTCAAGAAATTTTGTGTTAACAGAAATGTTGATGTAGGCCTGGTTTTCTAACTTATTTTTTCAATGTAATTCTTACTTATTTTCTTCCATAATTTCTTAAGAAATTGATTATTCTTATCAACTGGATCTTGTGATATTTTAAAATATACATAACATAATAATTTTTTTTTTGAATGATAAATCATTACTTTTTAAAAATATTTTAGTTTTAGAAAGGAATAAAAAGATCGGAAATGTGATTTTTTTACCATTTAACATCTGTTATTTATACACAACAATAGATCAATAATAATTTAAATAAATAAATTTGCATTAATTTCATGGGTGAAAAGGTAAGATCCAACAAGTTGAATTTTTTAAAATTCTCTTATATGTTTTTTGAGATTCAAAGATTGGTGAAATGGTGAGTTCTAATGTATGATATAACTTGAATTTTTCAAAATTTTATTATATTATTTTCAAAAGCCAGAGAATGGTGAGAATGTGAGGTTAAATGAATGATATAAACTAAAAGAAAAAGAAAAATGGAAAGGTATTATGAAGATTAGTGAGAAAACAAGGTCAAATGCACAAAATTGATTTTTTCTAGATTCTATTACTATATTTTAAAAATTAAAGATTGGTGAGAGGGATGAGGTCCAATGCATGTCACGAATTTGAAATTCTCATGATTTTTTTTTTTTTAAATATATGGTTATAAATAGACATGAACTAAAGCAGAAGTGTAGTAACACCATCGTAACTCAGTTAAAAAATGAATTCTAATATTAGTGGTCATTCTCCTTTTGCAAACTCCTCCTCTTCTTCTTCGTCATCCGAATTTGATGAATGGTTAAAAGATGAGATTGAAGCAATGGAGATTGAAGAACGAATCTTAATCAACGTAATAGCACAAAATAACTATCTCATTCACCACCTCATCCAACAAAACGACCAGGTAATAATAAGTCATCCTCAATCTATATTCATTCGTATAATTATTATTTTCTCATTTTAACACCATAGTAATTAAATTGAGTGAATAAGAAAACTCTTTATCTTCTAATCCCCTTCTCTTGTGGTGAGAATATAGGCAACAATGGCGGAATCTCCGGAACAGGTAAACCTAATCCCAATCGAAGCAACATCTGAAAGCTTCGCAGATTATGGTCAAGTCATCGAAGCCTCCTCAGACGGTGATCACTTTGGTCCTAACGATGCTCAGTTAGATCTCTCCAGAGGAATCCCACGGTACTCTCTATCTCCGGTTTTAATTTCCTTAAAATAAGACAAGACTTTGGCTCTGTCTAGTTTCAGATTATGTCTTGTTTGTTTTATTAATCATAATTTTTTGTTACATAGATTCTATATCATGCGGCTCAAAGACCGTTCCTTTGGCTTCTCCACCATCACTCACCACGCAAACGTGACACAGTGTTTGGGATCTATAGGAGGTCACGTTTGGTACCTTGGTGTAGCTAAGCCATCTCTTATTGAAGATGTTGATAGAGAACGTGTTGTTGGAGGTAATGTTGAATCTGGTTCCAATGGTCACTTGTACGCGCTTCCTGCGGTTGAGGATGTGCGCGTCTTCAGGTTTTCAGGACCGAAGTTTGTTAAACTGAACCGTGGTACGTGGCATGCTGGACCGTTGTTCAGTGAGAGCTCCATGGACTTCTACAACTTGGAGCTTAGCAACACAAATGTGAGTAGTGTTTTTTAGTGTTATAAAAAGTAGATGTGAATTAAGTGATTTTTGGTTTTGACATATTGTTGTTGTGTTGTCACAGGAGGTGGATCACACGACACATGATTTCAAGAAGAAGAATGGTATCATCTTCCGGTTTAACTGATCTCAAAGAGGATAGCACATCCTCTAAGTCATAATCCTATATATGATAGATCAGTGTGGTTCTGTTTTCATGTCTTATAAGCAAATATGATGAGAAACGTTTTCTTTCTTATATTCACTGTGTTCTGTGTACAAATTGTAACTTCTCTAAATCTGTTCAATCTATTCACTTACTAACCAAAAAATCCCTTAACTAAAAACATATTTCATAACAACATAAAAGTCTGAAGCAAGAAAGAACTCTTCAACCGAAACCACTAGCTTGTGATATGCACATTAAGACTGATCCATGTCATCGGTCCTCGACACATCCTCAGCTGATTCACTTTCAACTCTACGATAGCACAGAACATAGGCTGCTGCGCTTTTGATCTCAGATTCGTTTACGGGTTTAACAACACTGTCGTCGTAATGATACCACTTGTTGCCATCATCAACCAACTGCAGCAAAGGAACATATATAAATAGGTGTTTAGATAAAAAAGGAGTACTACTCATCAGATAGTGAGATCAATCAAGTAAGCAAACAACCTTAGCGTAGGTAGTGTAGTGGCCAACACCACCAATTCCACCGAGATGGTTGATCACTGCATACAGCTCATACAAGTATGACTCCCGTTTCCCATTATTCACGTACTTGCTCAACTCTAACAGATCCTCAACTGGGAAATCCACAAACGTATCTATCTTCTTCGTGAAACATTTGCTACTCTTGAACCGTATTAACTGGAACATTAGTATATCTGGCAGCTTCCACATGTCATACTTCTTGTTAGCTTGCCTCTGCTCTTTGCATTCCGGACAACTCCTGTGGTTCCACAAAGATGGTTAAAACTTATTAAGTAGGCCACAAGCTTATGCAATGTCACAAGTTCAATGGATGACGAGTGAGTGCTATTACCACATGTTATCCAGTTCAAGAGGTTCTTCTGCTAAATATTTCTCCAAACAAGCATACAGAGTTATCACTTCTTCTTGCCTTGTCTTCTCTCCAGACAAACTTGGTCTATAAAACACGTCCATTTAGTTATATGACTGACCTATAAAAACTGAATCAAGAATAGTTCTTGTTGTAAACCAAAGCATGATCATTACCTTTTTCCCTGCCCTCCATGAAGCATTTCAAGTTTTGCTTTTCCTGCTTCTTTCTGCATCTGATTCTTCATCCGATACGCAGCAATATGGACATCATCTTTCATCACACTCAGCGACTCAATGGGATCCTCTAAATATCCAAAGATCTTGTTCTCATATACCTGTAAAGAGGGCAATGCCAGAGGTTAGTGATGAATTGGATTTATATCAGAAAGAAGTGCGTCAAGAGTCTTCCTCCTACCATTGCAAGTAAAAGGCTTTCATCATCGGTTAAGGAACAAGCAGTACTTAACGCAGCAATAAGATCACTACATGATCCACTCCTAGGCACTGTTACAGTGTATCGTATCGGAAGATGACCTCCTTCGCCATAAAACACAGTAACTGATATTGTCCGGTTAAGTGTTGAAGGCAGAGGTAAAGACAAGCACGTGAAGGACTCATAAGTGCTTCCTGCTTTCCCACACACTGGACAAACCAGACTTGACTTGCATTGACCCTGCAATAAAGAAGATATCACAAACTGTCAGTAATATAAAACAGACAGAATCTTCTTCCAGTAGCCGGTATGAAAGATCTACTTACTTGGCAGACGTTAACTATGTCAGAGACTTCATGCAGCCTAACTAATAAGGACATAAGAAGTTCCTGCAACAAAAACCATCATAAACACATAGGGGAACAAAAGCATAAACAATTTGCTCAACTATAGGAAAATAACTAACATGAGAATCGTGTTGATTGTGACCACTAAACTGTGGAGCAACTTTATCAAGTTTTGTCTTGAAAACTCGTGGTTCAACTGCATTTCTTCCTGACGACCATAACTCCTTCAAGAGCTCACCAAACGCCTTAGCAAGCTCGTCTTTACTGTGATCTCGCAAGAAGTGTTCAAGTATGGGAGGTGTGTGTGCCAAACACTGAAGAGCACTGTTCATGTAGCAGGTGTTTCCCATATTGACCAGTCCTGCTAATCCTTTTCCAGGACTAGTACTACTACTCAAAGAAACGCCAGATCCAGAAGGCTCTTCTTCCAGAGGTAGCTCATCATTTACTTCCGAGCTCCCATCAACTTCAAGAAGAATCTGCATGAATAGAATGTGATGTCGTCAGGAAATATTCTAATTAATAGAAAATTTGAGTATTTCTATAGATAACAACAACACTTACATCTTCCTCCGCGTGAATACCTAACTCTTCAAGGCTCTTGTTAGATGAAGGATACAAGCGTTTGCCTTTCGTCATATTGAAGTAATCCCAGATACGAGCCTGCTTAATACATATAATGTGAAGCAACAACATCTCCATAGCAAAAGCAAAAATAGAAATGAACAAGACTTTTCAAATACATGACACACCTTTTCATGAGATACACCTTTCGTAGCACAAACCTTGTTAAAAAGCTCCCCTGTAGTGGCCTAAAAACACACATACACACCAACAAGTAAAGAAAGAACCCAAAGTTGGAGCCTTATAGTGTCTTATACTAAGCATGTTACCTGTTTAGCAACCCGTATCTCAGTTACATCGTTATCTCTTGCATCGTACAAGAAAAGGTAGATCACGGTTCTTGGTATTGGAGGACCTCCACTATACCTGGAAAGAAAGAAACTCACAACATTTTCATCAAAAACAATTAAACACGACCAAATGAGCTAAAAAGAGAAGATAAGATAAAGACTCTCACTCACCATTCAAGAAGAGTGTTCCAAACACGTTGAGGGACAAGAATGTAATCTTCGTCTTCAACAAGTAACCTGCGAGTATCGATGATATCATTGTTATCAATCGGTCCAGGCCTTGGAGCTGCTCCTCCTCCTCCTCCCGAAGGCTGCTCAACGTATCTCTCCCAGCTTGTGTACCACCTGCAAAATGCAATTACGTAGAGTCACACAAGAGTGTTTCTAACAAGAAGAATCCAAGAAGATGTGGAAAACGATATACGTTTTGGAGATGAGGAAGTAGGAGGATTCTCTATCGTTCGAGCTGGTGGTAGTGAGTTGCGAGACGATACGTTTCTCTTCCTCGGGGAAACGAAAACGAGTGACTGAGTTTTTAGACTTGCGATAAGGGATCGGCATCTTTCGAAAAATATGAGTGAGGATCTCTCAGAAGAAGTCTTCTTGATCTTTTCAAAGGAGAATTTTAAAAGATGAGTGAGGAACTCTTGAATTTTCGTTTGTATTTATTTTACGCGGAAACTCTTGCCCAGTTTTCAGTTATTCTTTTTCTTTTAGTTTTCTTCTATGGTTTTATGTCCACTAAATTTCCTATAAATATATTTGTCAAGACATAATCCATCATAAAGGACAGTTTCTATACTCAATTTCGTTTATAAAGTAGAACTTTTATAAATTAATATTTAATATATTAATAATTTTTATGAATTAATAAATTTTGTCGATTCCAGTTTAGATCGGTTCAAAATTTGACACAAATCAATAAAATAATAAAATAGTAATTTTTTGAAAATTTTAATGTAAATATATGATCCCATTTGGAAGCACCTAACGAATGGACTGAAACTGGTTCTTCCTAAGTTTATTGTGCCAAACCAATCAGTGTTTGTAAAGGGTCGCCTCTTCGTAGAGAGTGTACTATTTACTTCAGAACTAGTCAAAAGCTACCATAAGAGCATTGTCTCGGCTAATAGTGTGAACATGAAGCAATAAAAGGGACTAGAGGAGAATAATTATTCGAATGGTGAAGGTTACACTTGGTTTGAGAAGGTTACAATTGGTTTCAATTGGTTTGAGAGGAGAAGACCGTTGGGAGTTCTGGACAAAGCAGGTGCAAGTGGGTTGAGTTTTATATATTAAATCTCCTGTCCTTGTAAGCCTGATTTGACTT